GCCCGCAGACGACCTGTCACATCCTCAATGGTGAGGGTGGATAAGCCCAGCATCGTCTCTATAGAGATAGCGATCTGGATGTACTTCACCGGCACGGAGTGGAAGTACTTGGAGACCGCCTCATCTTCGTCGATGGTGATGTCGTGGCTCCTCAGCTTGCTGATGATCGACGACAGGCGGAGGGAGAAATCCTCCACCGACTCACCATCCTTGAACTTGAGGGTGGCGTACTCTTGCTTCAGCAGCTAGGCCGTTGCCTTCTTTGCGCAGTCGGAGCCGACGCGCATCGCTGCAATGGCCTCCCAAGCATCCTTAGCAGAGTTCTTTGCCCCCAACGGCTCCCTGTACTCCGCTAGCACAGTAGCGAGGATAGCCTCCAACGCTGACATGTCATCTTCTTCATTATCGGTGCCATTGTCAATAGCATTCTAGAGCCGTCAGGCTCTAAGCTTGACCTTCATGGTCACCACCCACTCGTCATAGTAGGTGCGAGTTAGCGTCGGCCAACTAGTGCAGCTGACCTCTCGCACCGTGCGCACGACGACCTCCTATCGTGGTTGGACAGCCACAGCAGCCAGCTGTTAGTCCGGCGACGGCGCTTATACGGCTCTGATACCACTTGTTGCGCCCGGGATCTCCCGCATGGGTGAGCCGACCGGTCACCGGGTGAGTCGACCGGTACCCGACGTTCTGGCACACACACTACGGCTGGAGGTAGAAGAGAGAGGAAGAATACAGCGACACACACAGCACAAGCACCAGCGATTGGCGGAGCTCTGCAGAGGAGATGATAAAACTGAACTCTTTCACTTTACTGAGTTGCAGTGCGAAGCTATATATATAACTCTATCCATCTAATCCTAGTACATAGACATGTTAGGCTGTCATGCTACTACAGTGACTAGATGGGACAACAGGGCTGACTTTGACGCCTGCCCCTATCGTGGCTACAGTGCGGTAGGAGAGCCTTTCGGCATCTGTCCCTGCAACGGCTATAGTGCAGCAGCAGGAGAGCCCTTTCGACGCCTACGCCTGCCGCACGTACAGAGATGGGAGAGCAGCATATTACTTTACAAGTTTGAGATGGAGGGGCGTGTGTGCAATTGGTTCAGCCTGTCATCATGTGCTTGCATACCAGCTATCGTCAACCGGTTCCCACCGCCTGAAGCTATCTTCAACTCTTTTGTCACGGCACCTGACTGAAGCACAAGATTCTCCGCGAGCTTCGTCCATTTTTCGTTGGATTCTTGCAACTTTTGTAACTCTGCACTGGGCAGCTACTGAGCAAATCTTGCATTCTTAAATTGTTGACACCTTGTGCTTGTATAGGATCCAAAATAAGCACTTGCAAGAAGAGTTGTGTAATGTTCTCTGTTATTAGATGCCGTAGTTGACATCAGAATGTGTCATTTGGATGCTGTAGTATTAAAATTATGCTTTTCTTAGCCCAACCATGCATGCAGCCAACATTGATCATTCGGGGGGGAGGAGGATCAGGTTTTTCCTATGGAACTGGCGCAGGTCGGAGAGGTCAGTTTGGTGCTTCCCTCTGATTATTCTGATTATAAATGGCAGGCTGATGTATCAAACATATTATCTATTGCTAAATTGCAATTTTATATTCCTCAGGAATCTTGGGGAGAGTTCTAGATTAGTAGTCATAAAAAACGCTGGGCATGCGGCCAATCTAGAGAAGTCCAAAGAGGTGTGCAAGAGCATCATTGACTATTTTCAGGAAACGGCTTTAAGTGCTTCAATCGGGGTAAGGGTAGGCAATGGTTGTGATGCTTCCAATTTATTAAGAAAAAAAAGGTTATCACAAAAAGAATTATATAAGGTGATTATATTGATCTCCTTGCGCAAGCAGGTGCTCGGGAAGTAGCCCGCATACATCACGGCACGCCTCGACCTCATCTTCGCTGACGCGCTGTTCCCCGCCGAGGGCAAGTCCAACATCGAGGGCATGTATTTCTGTGTGTTTTATGCATCTTCACGAAAATCAGCGAGGGGCACACAGTAACAGTATGTTCTCTGCCAGAGATTTACTGCACTAAATATTATAGTTGTTTCCACAAAGCAGCATGTATTTCCCATGATTGTTCATTTTTTTCTTTAACTTTGCATAAGATGGAAATGTTTTCTATAGAACATAACAGCTTGCATTCCTATAATTTTAAGAGATGTAATATTCTTCTTCACTAGCATCACAAATATCTTCAGTTCTGTTTGCTTGTCTGCTTTGTGTAAGTTGTTCTCTGAACTGCCTTGATTGGTTTCTGAAAATGTCATCAGCTGGTTGTACCTGAAGTGTCGTTGCACTCATTTTTATTCTAAGCAACTTAAACACACATACTATGTAAATATACAAATTAGGATTCCAGTACTGAGACTCTTGAATTAAAACATTGTTAACTGTCAAGTGTTATGGCAATTTGGATGTGCACTCTGTAAGTAGATACGTACTCCTAAGTCAGTAATGTACTAATGTGTGAGCACTGCATTGTTTGCACTTAAATTCGATATGCTCTGAATTAGTGAGACCTGGAGCTAATGCAATTAAGTTCACTTTAGGATGTGCTGAATCAGGGAAACATGAAAACTTACTGGCTTAGTTACTTCCAATTTTAGATGACAAGAAATCACCCACAAAAAATGATCTCGCTGAATTGATTCCTGACACTACATCATTTTTGTTAGTTTTTTTAAAATAAATAACTCAGGTCAGGTTTGCCCATACTGGCATAGTATGTTTGTTTATTGATTCTAGACTTTATGGAGGGGTTGCCGAACAATTCATTGAACTGTTCTTAGGAGCTGCCAAGAGTTTCTTATATAGTTGCATTAGTTCTGCTGCATTCAAATTTTGCTGAACTTCCTGGTCTATCTACATTTTCAGGTTCTGCATTTTCAGTGTCAAACAGAAAATGGAATTCCTGTCTTCAGATAGTTTAGTTGTATATACCTACGAAACATATATCCTCTAATCTTTGTCTCATTATGCCTATTTGCAACAAGGAATTTGGAGATAGAATTTGTTAACCCAAATGACCATGACAAACCGATACAATAGGTTTGAGTTGACCTTACAGATGGTGACGTGGATTACAGTTCTCAATGCATTGGAAATGTTTCAGTTATGAGGTGGAATGCTGCCACAAGGTAAGCATTCCCATTGCAACATCTTGAATGTTGTTGCTTATGTCTGAATTGTACCACATAGTCACATATTTACACATAAGTATGGGATGCAGACCCGTAGGGCTGGGGAACACCTGTCATTGTTGGTGTAGCTGCTTCTGGCCTGGCCATTCCAGCTCATGATTGGCCGTCTGGAAGGGAACAGCTTAGACTATCCCCAACAGCCGATACCTAAAACAGAGACCCATTCTAGGATTTGGGTTCTACACAACAAATGAGTCACCGACCCAAAACCTTCCTTCTCCAACAGCGAAGGCAAAGGAAGAGCCCCCGAGCACAGCCTACGTCCCTCCCCGCCGAGCGCCGCTCGCCTCCCTGCCCGCCAAGCTCCGCCCGCCTCTCTGCATGCGCCGCCCGCCCCTCCCCGCCGAACGCCGAGCCGCTCGCCTCCCTTCCCGCCTCGCCGCCGTCGTCGTCGGGCCCGCCTCGCCGGCGAGCTCCCTCCCTTGCACGGCCTCCCTCCCTCCCTGCGAGATCCGGCGAGCGCTGCGCGAGCACCTCCGCCCCCACGCGGCGCTGCTCATCACCGACGGCAGGGGAGCGGTCCTAGATCCGGCGAGGCAGCCAAGGCCGGCGGCTCCGGAGGTGCTCCCACGGCGAGCTCGCCTCGCCGAGCCGGCCCCGCCCCGCCGCTGTCCCGCCTGGCACCCACCACTGCTCCACCCCGACGCCTCCTACGGGCGCCGAAGACTTTGCATCTTGGAGACAGACGACGCAAATGATCGTCCCGGTTGGCCTCGTACCCAAAATGCATGCTCTGTTTACGTCATTTGTTGGAGCCAGTTTTCTTCAGCTAAAATACTGTGCACGACCTATTTTGGGTTTACGTCACCCATTGCATGGGCTGTTGGAGACAGTCTTATAAGAGCTGAACCTAGATCCCATGGCTTGTTGAGAAGTACATGAACAAGATTGTACTGCATCATCATGAACACTTGTCAAATCAAGTTTTGTATTTTACCGAAAGCGTTAAAGTTCATAGACTTTGTCCAACAATTAATCAGATTATATGTATGCTTAAAGTTGGTAATCGTATTTCACAGATCTTTGAATGTGACATTTTATTTTTTATTGAAAAATATATTACATAAATTGTAGGGTTTTAGGCTGCTTGAGTGCATAGTTAGACTATTGTATTTTGTATAAGAAGCATGATCCATTACAACTTCGAAACTGTTAGTTTTCACGATGCCTTGTCGTATTAGCAAAACACTGAACTTTCAGTGCTCAGTTCAGTGCTATGAAAATAGATTTGACAAAGCACAATTAGCTATGTACTTCAAATTTAATAGAGTTATCTTTGGACTTAACGTGACCCGTTAGTACGCGCAATATATACAACTAAAAAGCCTCCCGTCGAAGCCATCCGCGACTCCACGACCCTCCAGTGGTTTTTACCGCGCCTACAGGTGCCCCCCCTGTGCTGAGAGCGCCCCTCACGGCACATCAGGCCTCGCCTCCTTCTCCCGTCCGTCCCCTGATCCCCTCCCGCATTCCCATCCGTCCCCTGATCCCCCCTCCCGCACTCTCAGAAGCACCACCACCGCCGATGCAGCGGCTAGGAGACAGCCATGGCGGCTCACACGACGATCCCCTTCTCCAGCTCTTCCACGCTGCAAACTCTGACTCGCATCCTCTCCTAGCCCAGGGACCGCCAGCTTTGTCTCGTCTTCCTCCGCCTCCCCTTCCTCGCAGCCCTCCTGACGCTCGCCCGCTCCCTACCGCCGTCACGTCTCGGCGTCCGCCGTGGTAGGCCTCAACGGCACCATAGCTCCTCTGCTACCCCGCTCCCACTCCGATCCATGACTCCCGCCTCACACGCCCGCTCATCCAATAGGCCCTATCGGCAGATCTGGTGCCTTGGTACCGCACCGTGGGAGGAGACCAAGGTAATGCCGTGGATTCGCTAGAAAACTCGTCGGACTACACCATTGCCGATCTATTCACTCTACAACCGATTCATTATCTTGCCCCATTGTTGCAGGTCTTGTCCCATTGTTGCAGGCAGAACCCTGCTTTCCTAGAACCTCCACGTCGATGGCACCTCCGCTGGTTCCCACAGCAGGCTGCAATTCAGGATCCGTGGCTCGGTTATATGGCAGTGGCAGCACGGACAGAGGCAGTGGCAAAGAAGGGGCTGCGGCATCAATCTCGTCATGACCTCGGACTCTAGGAGACGAGGCATCAAGAGGTTGCACTGTATGGTTTGCTCTAGGAGTCATGATTTGTTTTTCCAGTAAATCCACAAAATCAGTTAGCTTGTAAGATGTTTCGTTTGGGCATCCATTTTGCGCAACAATTTTTGGGAAACAGTTCGTAAACTGCAATTCGGAGTAGATGCATTCAGTTTGTTTGGGACATGTAACTCAGTTAATATCTAGAACTGTGATTCTAATTAATTCATGGATTACATTACACGAGATAAAAAAAAACAGACAAACTCTATCTACAGTCTATAGGTTGTTGTTATGAGAGTAGATTTATGTTACGAGAGTAGATTTGTGTTCCTGAAGTGCAAAAAGGGTGGTCGGGCTGCTACGCTTCCTTTGTTCTCTGTCTGAGCAGAATTAGTCTCTCAGATTATGCATTACGAAAAATAGTTTGGTCCAGATGCAGATGAGGAGTTGATATATGGAAGACCTTGATTTATAAATGCAATTTATATTACGTGACCTGAAATTGTGCAACATTTCTTGGCAGACAATTTGGTGGTATTGGACGCTACTGTTTCATTTCTGGTGACGAGGTGTGACCTAGGTGAGAACACAAGCACCTCACCAGACAATTTTGCTGTTTATTTAACAAAGAGAAAATATTTTAGCATGTGGAAAATATTATTACCACTTGGCTTATTCTCTGTATTTATTCTGTGTTGACCCTGTATTTCGAGCAAGTTGGCAGTATTGGTTTAAAAATGCTATACCGGTAAGTTTGATGTGAAGTGAGGCTTTCCTTTTTATAAATTTGATGGTACATAATTGTTTTATCCTGAATGCTGGATGTTTGTTAGCTTGCAAAATTTTATTCTGGTAACACACACCGATGGTACCACTATCCTCTGATAATCAGCTACCTCACTAAATATTTTGCTTTCATGTTTTCTTCAGCTCATGATATTTGAAGCCATGAAATCGAATTATTGTTGTTGTGGTGATGCATTTTGCAGACCAAGAGAAGCTGGTCCGGTCACTGCTGGTGAAGCAGAGCCATCATTAGAAGTGTGCGTTTCAGAATCTTGATTCCTTTGGCTTGGTGTGCCTGGCATTACGGGAGGACAGATCTTTCCTTGGCTGTCAGCTTCTCTATCCTCAGAGTAGACCAGTGCTTGATGCAGTCTTGATTATCTGAAAGAGGGCTGCATGAAGAATAGAGTAAAAAACATGCTCGTCAACGAAAGTTTTTCATGATACATGAAACTGAGCATGTGTGTATCTATGGTCTCATCAAACCATTGTGATGTCATTTGTTGACTTCTCTATTCTACCGACACAATATTAGAGTGGAATAGCTATTGCCTTTGGGTGGCAGTCAATACATGTAGAATAAACCATGAGTTCCTTTTGGGATCAATCTGTGAGCAGGGGCAATTCTGCAATTGCATTTTCTACCATTTATCTATGGAAATCCCTCCTTGGCTCCGTATCCTCAACAGGCCAGGCAGCTAGCTATGTCAGTTCTGGTTGCGCTGTGTCATGGTGGCACGGACCCATGCACATGGTGGAGCACCCCGGACTCTACATCAGTTCATCATGTGCTTGTACCAAGGCAGTGGCAATGTCGGCAACTCCTGCAACTACAAGTAAGCATCTCCACTCGATTAGTGACCATGCTTGGGATTCTGGTACTAATAACAGTCACACAGATGAAATGGCTACTATATTTATTGCGAACTGAACTCATGATGCTTCACAAGCTTTTGAGGAACGGACTACTTTTTTCAGAAAAAAGAAACCAATTACTGTGATTAGCTTCAGCAGCATGCCAAATCATTTATTTTTTAGACGGTTAGGACCGATTAATCTATATTTCCTGCTTGTCATTTATTGTCCCTTGCACACAGAGATAATAGACGCTATTTCTTTTTAAATCTGGAATTGCAATGGTGCTTTTAAATGATTAATCAACCAACTGATGTCACGATACATTCAGATGCTGGCAATCTGTTAAATAGACAGTATCTGATGTTGTTTAGCTCTTGACAGCATTGTCAACATGGAGACCGGAACCTTGCAATGCAAGCTATTCAAGGAGCCACATAATACTAGAAGTTGTCAGACTCTTTGCAGCGTCTATGCAAAATGGTGTTATTTGTGCTAACATAAAGTTCGTGCTTTAGTTTAGTGGGCCGGAGCACTCAAATCCATTACATAGTTTATAGGATTGCATTTCAGAATAATGTAATGGAACAAGTCTACATACCCTCCCCCCCCAACTATTCAGGGTGGACTACTTCACCCCCAAACTATAAAACCGGATTTTCTACTCCCTGAACTTTCCAAAACCAGTCAAATAACCCCCCAAACGGTTTTGGACGGTGGTTTTGCTATAGTGACATGTACTATTAATTGGGGTTAATAAAGCATGCCACAATTAAGCCTATCTATAATGTTGAAAGGTTATTATTTCCAATTGCATTACTTCCTTTAATATGATTCCAAGTATTTGACATGGCTTTTCCTATGTATGAGGTTGTCAGATTCAAATGCTTCTATAGTAGGATTGGCAACAAGTCCATGTAAGAGTGTGCCTACAAAATTCTTCGGGGAAGAAATTGGCTAATGATGCAGATTTTACAGTTCCCTGCCTTATATTCTGGAATGTCTCTGCAGTCCAGTCAAGAAAAGCTCACTCTCTTCCCTACCACAAGTCCATGTAAGAGTGTGCCTGCAAAATATTCTAGCACTGACAAGAGACACTTGGAAGGAATGGATGTTTTTGATGTGAAATCAAAGGGGCCCTCAGGTATTAAGGAGAAAGAGACAGTACAAGTGAGGATAGACTTGGAAGATGAGGAGTCAAGACGGGGAGAGCAGCAGCTTGTTCGGAAGGCCGTATCGTATCGTGGATTATTTACTGTTGGCTGGTTTGGTGTGAGAGAAAAACACTGTTCCCGGCTGAAAATTTACGACCGTTTACGAGTAGCAAGCGAACAGCCTGCTGATCAAAAGGTATCTTCATACATGGACAGGCTGAACAAATATAATGCTGCTGATAAGCAACATTCTGGAGCTGATAGTTACCAGGAACGAGGATGTATGTGCCAATTCGGCGAGTGTATTCAAAATGTACAGTTTAATAGACTGGTGTCAGTGTACTGTAGTTTTGTTTTCATCTGCATTGCTTGTACAGATCTCTCTCTCTCTCTAGTGTTTGTTCTGATATCTCTGCTCCCACTAAGAATTGGTGGGACGTCAACTGCATATTTTCTGGTCTCCCGATGAATCTTCTAAGATTGTTGTCAAGCCTGAGTTCTACAATCTTAGGGGAGATAGCATATGAAGAACTATTTTTGATAAATCCGATCAGAAGGGCAGGAAAATTTTCAAGCCACAGGAAGAGCTAGCTGATGAGCACCTTATACAATCTATTCAAACAATACTTATTGTTGGAATACATTGTTCCTTAAATTAAAGGCGAAATTCTATTCATGCGAAGCTTCATAGCATGGAAGGATAGGTAAAAGAGGTGCCTGCAAAAAATGGTGGCATCTATAATTGATCCTTAGGGTACTTTCAATGCAGAAACCACTATACTTTTTATGGACATTAATTGTACTGTCACCTAAGCGTTTTGCTGATGTGGTAAAGTAGTTATTGAGGAGAGAGAAAAAATCATAGAAACCGGGTTTAACTTAAAAACCATGTATACGCGAGAACTAAGACACGAAGGGATGTGATTGGTAGAGAATAGAGAGAAAATATATGTGATTGGATAAAAAATTATTCTGTAGAAACTATCCATCGAGACTATGGTTTCTATATGTAGAGTCTATAGAAATTAATAGGTGTAGTAGTTTCTAGCATTGGGACTGCCCTTAGCCAATTGGATGCTGATGACACTATATATTATCTTGTCCCAATGCAATGCACGACATTTACCTAGTCCTAAAATAAACTTAGGAAAATACGATCACCCGTTCGAGGATTTGAACTTAGTTGAGCAAGTTCCACCATAAGAAACCCAACCAATTGATATATGATCATTTCGTAAAAGAAAACAACTCCACCTAATTAATTTTCTTTCTTGTGGCACTTTACTTGTTGACGCATAAACACGAGTCTGTTGTCGGCCAAAAAGTTTGTCCAGGAGATACTTTAAGATAAAAAAAGGAGAAGGCTAGTAAAGTTGCCTTCCTGTTATGGAAATTGTGGGATACAAGGAATAATGTTAACGCAGGGGTGAAACGGCAGACGACAGCTGAAGTTAATACGATTGTGATCACTATGGCTGCTTCAAAATGTGTCCCACAGAAAACACCTGGCAAAACACATATGAGATGGCGCCTACGTGAAGGAAACTAGGCAAAGGAGCCTGGGGTTTCATAATAAGAGATCATGCTGGGTGTCCAGTTCTTGCAGGATGTGGTAACGCAGGACAAGTGCATGACGCACTGATGACGGAGGCCGTGGCGTGTTTGAAGGCTTTCGAATCGGCTAACGAACACGACATTTCGCGTATCCAATTGGAGATGGACTCAAGTCAGTTTACTAGTTGAGGGAAGCAATTTGCTCAGCATCGATGGACAAAGCTCGGGGGGTGGGGGTATGCTGTTTAATGATATTCGTTCACACTTGTATGAGCACTTTGTTTGTTTGAATGTATTTCATATTAAATGTGCCAAAAACTCGTCTGATCATGAATTAGCTAGAACTGGCATGTCTTGGGACCCGGGTCATGAACTTGTGTGGATTGACCCCCTCCCCGACTTTGTAAATGTTCATGTGGCTCGCGACTTTGCTGAGTCCTCTGATGTTAATAGAAGGCCATAGAGCCATCTTTGTATATAAAAAAACACTGAGTCTGTACAGTCGATGTATGTGTGAATTAGTGAGTGACCACAAAACATATACCTAATAAATACAGTGTTTGTTTTAAGGAATCACTCAATTTCAAATCAGTACTGAAAGGATCAAGATGCCCAAGAGGGAAGGTGAATTGGGCTAATTCTAAATT